AAATAATGCTTTGAAGGGTACTTTTCATCAGTGGCGATATTTTAGATTGTTTGTCCTACTTTTCAAGTTACATATTGTGAATATTGTTAAATGATTCCTGTCTGCAAAGTGTTCAAAAAGCGAAGGACTTCGCTTCCGTTTGAACGTATATATCTCTCTCTGCTCCAATGCAAGCTGCCACCTGCCGCGCGTCGATCGCACTACAACCTACACCGACTGATCTCATCATCCAATGAGATTTAACTTATGACATCACTCGCCAACGCGAAGGAATGAGTTACGTTGATTCTCTGTTAAAAGGAAGTAAAGACTGCGCTGGTCAAAGCCTCCTGGTACCATAAGGCTCTAATTAATTCGTATGCAAGCCAGCAAAGCCCAACACATATCATTACCTGCAGCAATGTTCTGATGCATAGCGATTCTAGGTCAGTAAATAACGTTTGGTTTTGGCGGGGTTAGGGCTGCAGGTGGATTTTTTGTTAACAGAAAATTTAAGGTGTGTTTGAACTTACTATGCAGTGTAGCTGTGTAATAGAAACTTTTCAGATTCGTCCATTTGAGAGTAGAAGTGACAGTAAAAATGTAAAGATTGTAAACGAAGGGCGACTTACTTTCAACACTGATCAGTAGTATCGGAAGAAGATATTTGAGTGACATTTTCAAAGAAATCTATAGGACAAGCTTTAGTGGTTTACATGATGCGCTAATAACCATTAGTTATATTATTGACTATTCATGTTTCTTGCTGAATAAAAATCTAGATCTGTTTTTGGTATGTTCTGTATTAAACAATCGGCACAATTATATATAAGTAAAATAAATATAGGTTCTATAGTGTCTCTTCTAAATGTTTTAAGATTTTTTATTGTAATTATCATACGAGTGCGTTTTATTTGATTTGAAGGCTATACTACATCAGTAATAATTCTGTTTGTAACATTTTAATTCAATAATATTTTGGTCTTCAAATATTGAGTACACGGCAATAAATTGTTGCTGACTCACTAATACGTCACGCTATTGCTTTTTCTGCATTCTAACAACACAAGTAATATACTTTCATGCGAAAATTCATCGGTGGGCGGAACTTCCAAAATAATAGAGAGTAATATAATACTAGCACATGTTAGCCAAAGTTTTTTGGATATTTTAAAATTATTTATATGTGTTACACAACCTACTACGACCACGTCTTCGTCCCGTAATTTAGTTTTGCGGAGTAGTCAAAATTATCTGCCAGCCTAACCGAACAGAGCATATATGAGTCCGTACGCAGTCTACCTCCACTCCTTGTCCTGAATGTATCTGTACGACATTGCAAACTAGCAAGCATGCCTAGGGCGGGGCGTATCATAGGCAAGGATCTTTAGAATTCGGATGAAAAATCTTTCGAATTCAGGAAGAAAACTCAGTTCCGCTATTTTATTTCTCTCAAATAAATTTCACGTCCCACGTCTAAATTATAAGACAAAATCTAGATTCTGTTTTATAATATGTTTTTGTTTCCGAATAAAAATCTAGCATAATTGTCTAATACAAGTTTTTACTTCCAGAAGACAAATTGCAAAATCTGCAACATCTGTTGGCAAGAAGAAGAAACAATAACACATATAATAAAATGTATGCAAGAAGGAAAATAAACCAAAAGATTGAGTAAATACAAATACATACTACTGCATACTACCGCTACTATTACAACTACCGCTACTATTACAACTACCGCTACTATTACAACTACCGCTACTATTACTACCGTACTATTACCTCGCTTACGTAATTACACTACCGCTACTATTACAACTACGCTACTATACTACGACATACACTACCGCTACATTACAACTACCGCTACTATTACAACTACCGCTACTATTACAACTACCGCATTCTATTAAATACCCTAATACTGACACTAGCACATTTACAAACGCTACTATACAACTACCGCTAACATCACATCCGTGACAATTCAATACCGCTACTTTACAATACCGCTACATTACACTACGCTATATTACAACCTACCGCTACTATTACAACTACCTGCTAACTATTACAACTACCGCTACTATTACAACTACGCTACTATTTACAACTACCGCTACCTATTAACTCACTATACTACTCGCTTACTATTGACAACTACCGCTACTATTACAAACTACCGTTACACAGCTACTTTAACAACTACGCTATACTATTACAACTACCGCGCTACTATTACAACTACCGCTACTATTTACAACTACCGCTTACCTATTACAACTACAGCCTACTATTACAACTACCGCTACTATTACAACTACCCGCTACTATTAAACTACCGCTACTAATTAAACAGTACTATACAATACCGATACTATTACAACTTACGCTCTACTAGTTACAACTATTCCGCTAACTATGCAATTCGTACTAACCTCCGACTTCGCTACTATTACAACTTCCGCTACTATACAACTTCCGCTACTAATCAACTTCCTACTAAACTTCAGCTACTATTACAACTTCCGCTACTATTACAATTCCGCTACTATTACAACTTCCGCATACTATTACCTTCCGGACTAACTACTGCCGCTACTAGATTACAACTTCCGCTACTATTACAACTCCGCTACTATTACAACTTCCGTTCACTATTCTTCCGCTAACATTTACCTTCCGCTATATTACAAACTTCCGCTACGTAATTAAACTTCCGCTACTATTACCAACTCCGCTACTATTACAACTTCGCTACTATTACAACTTCCGCTACTATTACAACCTAGCTACTACACGCTACTATTACAACTTCCGCTACTATTACAACTTCCGCTACTATTACAACTTCGCTCTATACACTTCCTATTACAACTTCCGAACTAACAACTTTGCATTTACAACTTCCGCTACTTATTACAACTTCCGCTACTATTACAACTTAATTACTTCGCTACTATTACAACTTCCGCTACTATTACACCTCCGCTATATTCAACTCGCTACTATTACAACTTCCGCTACTATTACAGCTTCGCTACTATTACAACTTCCGCTACTACTACAACTACTGCTACTACCACCTATACTACCGCTGCTTACTACTGCTACTAACACTACTATTACAAGTTAGAAGGTTTTTATTAGACATTCTCATACTCGTAAGGTAGACACTTAAGTATAGTTGTAAGGATATGCTTGATAGATTTTGTAGACTTTTTCAACAATACTTATGGTATATTTAACAAATAAATAGCATTATTTTGTTAATTAATAATTCCAATTATCTTATGTGCATGAAAAACAGGTAAACTTCTGGGTAATTCATGTCGGGTGATTAAGTTATACTCTATTTCAAGGTATACGACAAAGGGTTCCAAAATATATCGAACTTTTTCTATAACATCTTTATTGCTTAATGTACAACGGTTTTATCTCTGTCGCTCTGCAAAGTAGTTTCCTGTACTGAAAGAGCACTATTCCTCTACATGTCTTTCATTTTTGGATATCCTCTGCTGTAGTGCCACGTAGGTCTTTCGTGTCGCATTGCGTTGAATCTTCTCAATGGATGGAAATTATCATGTTCTAAACGAGGTTTTAAGTTTGGGAAACGGAAGAAAAAGGCAAGTGGCGCTAGCTCCGAAGATTTCGGTGGGTGATCCATGTCATTTCACCTTTATGAATTGGCGTTTCCCTTTATTTTATACAAAAAACAAATAAGTAAAAAAACCGGGCGTGTAAAATGACGATGTTTGGACACGTATTTTTTTATAAAAATATTAATTTCTAATATTAAGCCATCTATGTTTTTTGTTCAAGTTGTGTGCTAATCTTCTCTAAACTTGTAAGTTGGGCGTACGATATGAAGAAATGTTGAAACACCGAAATCCCTTCTTGCTTATCAATAAAAATGCAGGAAAAATTACTTTGTTATTCGTGTCCATGACACGTTCACTGACGAAACCCCAAGATGTCGATGTCAGTCGTCTGTGCAAAAATAGCTCCCCTTTCGCGCGATATCCGGTGTTGCAAGCAAGTTCAACAAACATACTGAACATTTCGCCAACGGATAGAACAGCATGCAAAACCCACATACTCAAACTTTGAAGTGTTATGGAGTATTCGAAATGTTGTTTGAGAGACGTTTGGCATCTAGACTTTCCGTGACCTCGGGGCTTCTTGTAGCGGACGAACCGTTGCCCTGGCAGCACCAGGAACGTCTGTCAACGCCGTATTGCAGTCAGTGAATTTGAGAAATGAAGTAGTTTACTGCTGTTTGAAGTCTAAAGCGTGCGTTGTGGCTTCGAGACGATGCTGGGTGCCTTAAATGCGAAAGCGAAATTAGCAATTAAAACACGTTTATTTGGGTTCCCAAAAAACTTGAAAAAGTGAGTTACATTTATTTTATCTTTCTTTTTTATGCATGTAGTTTGTTCTAAATCCAGGCTACACTGTAGATGGTAAATTTCTACTTCATTGTAAAATTTATATAGAATAATGCTACTAAATGGTTAGGGTGATAATTCACACATGCTTCCGCGGCTCGAATCCATAAATTCTCGGCTATCCGGTGACTGGTCACTGCCCTGAGGAAGCCTGCAACATGTCAGGCGAAACATCGGCCTCCCAGCCAACGACGCGGCGTCTCCCGGATAGCCGAGAATTTAGGGTGATAATTCATTTGTGTTTACATAAACTAATGCCAGTGAATGGTTCACTGCAGCAAGTGTGCCTGGTACATTTGCTGCCAATATTCATGGTAAGTTTTTGCTTTGAAAGTGCATTCAAATAATTCAATTGCAAATTGTGGAATTTTTTTAATTTTCATGTTAATTTGAGGATCCCTCGTTTGGACAAACCAAGGTGACACCCACTATAGAAATGAGTGTAATTGGTAAGACTTTTAATAGAATATTCGTGGAGTATAGAGTTTTAATAGAATATATGTTTTATAGTTTTAGTAGATTATATAGTTTGATGGTAGTCTATGTTACCAGCAATTTTTTTATTTTCAGATCCTTGTACACAGGCAGTTTTCCAAACTGCAAATGGTAAGTCTCTTGTACGTTTGTAAAATGCAAAAAGGAGCATGCTAGTGAAAGCATAATGCATTGGTAATAATTTGTTGTTGATTAATACAGTCTAGTGCTGTTGAACATGCTGCTACAGCAAGTGCAGCAGATGTTTATGCTAGCCTTGTGAAAGGTAAATATTTGCTATAATCTTTATGAATCTCAATTATTACTTTGTTGCACTTATTGAAGATGAGAGAGTTTTCAAGTTTGTCTCCATTTTCAGATCTTTTATACCCATGTGATGTGTCACATCAAGTTTTTATGGATACTTCTCATGGTACGTTTCTTTCAATATACAGTTGTTAGTGCCAATTTAGGGTAAATTACAGTAAATAAAAAGCTATTTTTGGGGGGTGAGATTACAGAAATTTTTTAGATTTTGTAGATTTATTTAGTGCTTATTATCTGGTCTGTACTTTTTCTTTCTTATTAGTATTAATTTTTATTATTAGTATTGATATAAGTTGCTTATGTATTGTTATACTGTTCTGACAATAATTGTTTCTCATGACAAACACAACCTTGATTCAATTTATATTCTACTCTCATTGTGTTTTGTTCCTCCTCATGCCATCCTCCACATTCTGGATTTGAATGCTGATCCTTATTAAATTGTGAATTGTTATGAGTCGTGAATGCAATGCCAAGGTCCCAGGCTTGGCTCCTGATGCAATCAAATATTTGCACTTTGACAATTCATTTTCAGAATTAAATTGTGGTGCATAAGCATTGATGGAATTCCACTATTTGTAAATCATTGTTTTACATGGTGAAAGTGGATTTTTTACTTAAGAATGGGGGCACTTGAATTATTGGCCTAGTGGCGCACCTTTCCCTTTGCCATAATAAAATGGCCTTTCACCCTTGTAT